GCTCGGCTGAAGCAGGGGCAAACGCACAGCACGCTTGTTCTTGGCAAAGCTCCTCGGCAGCAGGGAGCCGAGAGGGAGCCTTACCTGAACGGGCTGCACTGCTCACTGGAGGAGGTGGGACCAGGCCGCTGGAGAGGGGTCCTCCCTCACCAGGTGGGGACGTCTGAGGGGAGGCAGGGCCGGTCCCAGGCTCCCCTGCCAGTGCAGGCTGCTGCCACGGCGAGCACTCCAGATGGTCAGCGGTGCCCAGCAGGCTGAGCCCGGGAGAGGTGGGTGCTGGGGAGAGCCCCTTGGGGTGCAGAACAAAGGCTGCACAGCACCCGATGCCCATGCAGTACCAGCCACCTGGCTGCAGGCTCCACCACAACTCCGAGTGGGGGCAGGGGCGGGCTCCCTGCTCAAAGCAGTCCTGGCTGCAGAGGGAAGGGAGTGGCAGTGGGCAGGCAGCGGAGTTGCTCTTTCTTCAAGCCGTGCAGAGCTGGCACTGCCCACTGCCCAATGCAGCGGCGGGACACGTGAGGGACAGGCATGGAACAGGGCAGCCGCCACTCACATCCATGTTCACCACCGGCCTAGCGCCATGCTAGCACGTTTCACACATCACTGTGATCTAGTCCTCACAAACCTCTTTGGAAACCCGTTTTACAGATTGGAATACTGAGGTCTACAAAGCGACTTAACCAAGTCCACTCAGCTAGCAACTGGCAGAGCTGGCATTCCAATCCAGTGCACCGGGCCCCACCTGGCTGGGCCCCACCTGGCTGTCTCACGGTGCCAGGCAGCCACACGGGGGAACCTCCAAGCCACAGGGAGGGGAACGGAGCTAGCTACCCGCTGCTCCCTTTGGACAAGGGCCGGGCCACTGCCGCTCCGCCTGGACGGCTATGGAAGGCACAGACCCCAGAAGCCCCGGAGAATTCATACCCCCGCTCCCTCCTGGCTCAGGACAAACTGTGGGGGTCACCCATTCCCCTGAGCCTCCTGCCTGCTGTGCGGTCGGGAAGCCTCTGGCTCCCTGCCTCTGAGCCTCTGCTTCCTTTTGGCACGGCACCGGGTTACGCTGGGTAAGACGTGCTTTCTCCCATTCCCCCCTTTGCATCTCCCAACTCCAAAGAGCACAACAGTGCCGAGCTTACAGAGTTACCGGGCAGGGTGCTGTCTCCAGCTCAGGGCGCTTCCTTTGCAAGATGATCCCTGCTCAGATCTCACGTTACCTCCTCCCCAGCCAGCACATCTGCTGCGGCCCTGCAGCCTGGTCTCTGGAGAGGGATGGCACCGTGGTGGGAAACAGTTGCAGCTGAACTTCAGACAGGGTGCTGGGCTCCAGGACAGCCCTCCCCCCCACTCCTCACCCCTCACTCCCTCTTCCCTTCCCTACAAGGGGCCGCCATGTCTGCTGCATGGACTGGGGAGGCCTCAGGCACATGCTGGACACAGATGGTTCTGCAGGGCTGGTCGGAGGGACCAAAGCCTAATGCACCCCCCTCTCAGATGCCCAGAGTGCACCACCTTTCCCCCTGAGGGCACCTCTCTCCAAGTATCCGTGAGGAAGCAAAGGTGCTAAGTGAGTAGCTGAACCCTGTCTCTGCGGCCCCTCCCCTCCCACAGGATCTCGAGGCCGCAGAGGCTGAGAAGAGAAGACCATCTCTCCAGAAGCACCTTCCGCCAGGACACAGCCCCCCTCCCGTCTACAGCCAAGGGCAGAGCAGAAGGAGGCCGGCCCAGGCCTGCTGCCCCTCCAGGACCTGGCAGCCCGAGGGCACATCCCTGTCTCCTCCCAGGGCCACCCCCGCTGAGTGGACAGGAACAGACATCGCCTCAGAGTCACTCACTGAACCGCGTTGGGCACAGGCGATCTGTTCCCAACACTTGATTGTGCCCCGTCCACGGAGACCGCAGACAGCAGTGCGTACCCTCCCGTGCCCGCCCAGGCCGCACGCAGGTAGTGTGGAGGCTAGCACAGTGCACAAAGCCCACACGGCCTCTGCCCCGGCGGTGAGACCGTACGGTGACGTCACAACTACGCCCACAGCTGGCTGCCGCGCGTCCCGGCCTGGCACACACCAGCATCCACGGTTAGAGTCAGGACAGGTGAACCTGCAGATGCCCCGCTGAGATGGAGCCGCTCAGTTACCAGATTAACCAGGAAGGACACACTCGGGGAAAAAGGAAGGGACACTGACACCTCCCTTGGGTGTTTTCTGTTTGTGATGAACAGAGAACATTAGTCAGCTGCTAAACAATGGCGGCACCACAGGCACAGCAGCTGGGCTCACCCTCGGCCCCGGCCCGGCCCCCTGACTTGGCCATCACACCAGGCTCTGGCCTGTGGGACAGCCGGGCCCCGACTTGGCCATCACTCAGGTGCTGCCTGTGGGACGGCCTGCTGGCACACACCTGGGTCAGACAGTGGCGCGTGCAGCACTGAGAAATGGGGAGAGGAAAGTGAGCCGACACCCCGCATTTCAAAGGAGCCCAGGACAGCCAGCTCCGCCCAGCTGCTGAGAAGGCCCAGCTGCTGAGAAGGGACGGGCTGTGGCCAGAAGGCCTCGGGGGGTATGCACGGCTCCTAGGCAGTGCTTTCCTTCCAGACAAAAGGTTTGGGAAGCCAATTAGGGCGTGTGTGGTACAGGTGGGACACCAATGCTGCACCTGCTCCTGAGGCTCTGCCTCCTCCGGAGCCGCATGCTCCACTGGCTCTCCTGTGGGGAGACCATCCTCACCGGTGGACTGCTCGCATGCACACACACGCACACACACGCGCACGCGCGCCCGCCTGGCAGCCTGGCCCGTTGCAAACATACTTTGGTGTTGACGCCCCAGTGGCCAGACTTGGGCTGTTTTTGAAGTCGGGACGACCCTCCACCAGTGGCTCCCCTCCCTCCTCCCCTCAGGAGGCCCCTCTCCTCACTCCTCCAGGTTCAGGAGAGCCCAGGAAAGACCCACCCAGGCTGCTGAGTCCCTGAGAGGAGCAGCAGCAGGCATCAGGAGGCTGGGTGTGGTGGAGGGGGCAGAGGGGGCAGAGTCTGGGCTTGCCAGCCTCAGTCCAAGTGTCAGGCCCAGGCCCTGCACACCCACACGCCTGCCCCGTGCAGGAGCGGTGGAGTCCACAGCCACAACAATGACAACCAAGCCCAGAGCCCACGGGCTCAGTAAGCGCTTTCTGGCCCGGGTCCTGCTCTGCGCCCCACCCTCCACCTGGATTTCTGGTGTGGGGCGTGTCCTTGCTCAAACCTGTGACCCTGTCCCCTCTCGGCTCCTGCTTCCTGAGTTGGGTGCAGCAGGACAGGCCTCCACGCCCCCAAAGCAGGAATTTCCCACTAGGCACCCCAGGTCTGGGGGAAGAAATAACCCAAGGAGGGGAGCATGGGGGTGAGTGGCTCCCCGCCCCTTATGGGGCCCAAGGTTAGGTACCCCTAGTGTGTCAGGTCCCCTGAGCCCAGGGTCCACCTTGGCCCTCCTGGGCGGACTCCAGTGGCTGAGGAAGGGTGCCAGAGCCCACCTGGGTCAGAATTCCCTGGCTGCCCCCGAGGAGGCTCGGGTGAGAAAAGACCCCTCACTCCCTCCAAAGCGGGGTGGGGGAGGGCGAATGGGCAGAGGCACCCATGTCCGGGATTTCCCTCCCCCACAGGCCCAGGAGCGGAGGCACCTGCCTCCACAAGCGCTTTAGGTGCCACTGGCCACTCCCCGAGATTTGTGAGGCTTGGCAGGGAGCTGGCGGCGGTGGAGGCACAGACCGGCATGGCGCCGGGTTCCTGCCTCCCCGGGGCACCCCAGCCCCGAAGTGGGCGGCCAGGCTGGGCCTGAAACCAACTGCCCTCGGGGATCTCGCCTCAACGCTGGCCCCTGAGAGCGGATCTCTATCCGACCGTCCTTCTGCCGCCCTCAGGCCACGCCACGTGCTCAGCCCAACCTGCCGCTGCCCCTGCCGCTGCCCCTGCCCCTGCCGGCCGCTGCCCCTGCCTGCCGCTGCCCCTGCCCCTGCCCCTGCAGGCCGCTGCCCCTGCCCCTGCCCCTGCCTGCCGCTGCCCCTGCCCCTGCCGGCCGCTGCCGCTGCCCCTGCCCCTGCCTGCCGCTGCCCCTGCCCCTGCCCCTGCCGGCCGCTGCCCCTGCCTGCCGCTGCCCCTGCCTGCCGCTGCCCCTGCCCCTGCCCCTGCCCCTGCCGGCCGCTGCCCCTGCCGCCACAGCGGGGTTCCTCCGGGGAGTCCCAGCCGCCTGGGAGGCGCGCGGCTGCCCCAGGGACGCGAAGGGTTAAGTGCGGGCGCCGGCTCGGGGATTAGCCTCCTAAACGCATTTTCCAGTCCATTCCCGGCACCAGCGCCGGCGGCCCGGCCTCCGCCCCCGCCTCCGCCTCGGCTCCGCGTCCTCCCGTTGGCGGGGCGCCGCGGGCCACCCCGGGCCGAGCTTCCGGGGAGCTCCGCCGCCCGCAACGCGAGGAAGGGCGCCCGGGAAAGTGGGTCACGCGGCCACCTGGCCGGAGGCGGCCCCCTGGGGGAGCCCCCAACTGGGAGCGGAGCCCCGGGGGCCGGAGGGGGCCGCAGCGGCTAGGTCGGAGCCGCAGTCCCGGCTCCACGCGCCCGCCGGGCGCCCGCACAGCCGGGCACAGGCGCTGGCGCTGGACAAAGAGAGGCAGCCCTGCGCCCCGCCCGCAGCCCCCGGGGACAGACGGACGGACGCCCCGCCCGCAGCCCCCGGGGACAGACGGACGGACGGCGTCCGGAGAGGGACGGCGATCTGCATTTATGTAACAAGCAGTGCTTCCGAACTGCCTGGGGCTGGGAGCTGGGTGCAATAACTAGGACGCGATTACACAGGCTTTTTGTGGGAAGCTGGGCGACGGAGCGCTCTCGTGGGCACAGCCCCCTTCGGCGCGGGCTGCCGGGTCCGCCCTCGCGTCCGAACCCTGACCCAGCTCTCCCGGTGCCTTTCACTCCCAGCCCAGGCGCGCCCGCCACCGGCCCGGGCACCGAACGCGGAGTTAACCAGAAGCGGGGACTCACCTGGGAGGAGGAAGGCGGCCAAGCCGAGAGCGAGGCCCCACCAGCGTCCAGCGTCGTCCGCAAGCCCCCGCGGAGCCATGGGGGCCGGCGGGCCGGCGAGGAGCGCTCCTCGCCGCAGAGGCCGGCGGAAGGCGCAGGCGGTCGGGGCCGGCGCGCTGCGGGATCCGGTCCGCCGAGGGCCGGGCGGGCGGGCGCGGTGCGCTCGGCGCGGCGCGGTCCAGGCCTCAGCCGCCGGCAGCTCAGAGCTCGGCAGATGCCCGCCGCCAGGCGCACGAGTCATGCCCTCGCCTCGCTCCCCGCCCCGCGCGGCCCCGCCCTCTCCTCCACGCAGGGCCCCGGGAGGGACCCACCCGCTCGGCGGCCGCCGGCGGCTCCGCGCGCGGGTTCCGGCCGGCGCGCTCACGCCCTCGGCGCGGCTCCCGTCCCGGCGTCCGGCCGGCGTCCTCGGGCCGGTGGCGAGCGCGGGCCCAGCGGGCGGGCGGGCGGGGCTCGGGCCCGGGCGGCGGGCGGCGGCGGGCGGCTGGGGGGCGATCTGCGCGCGGACAGCCAGCCAGGTGCGCGCTCCGCCGCCGCGGCTGCACCGTGAGCGCGGCGTCGGGAGCCCGCGCCTCCGTCCTTTCTCTCCCCGCCGCGCGGCCTCTCCCCGCCGGCGTGATGTCAGGGGGAGGGGTTAGCGTTAACCCTCCCGGCGCCGCGCCGGCCTCCGCGGCTCTCCCGCCTTCCGGCTGCGGGCAGAGGCGGGTCCCAGCGGGGGCCGGGGTCCCCTCGGCCCTCTGGCTCGGAGATGCCCCCGCCGCCTGCAGCCGGGAGGGCGGGGCCGCTCCGCGCGGGAAGGCGCGCAGTGCCCCCTGGCGGCCGGCGCGGGGCCGCGCTGTGCCGCGCCGCGGGGCGGAGTTGGCGGGGCGGTGCGGTAGCTGCCGCGGGAAACTGGGTCTATTCACGACCCCGCGGGACGGCTCCCCCAGGCCCTACGCCGCAGTCCTGGCCCCATTTTACAGCTGGGGAAGCAAAGGCCCCGAAGGGTAAGGCGGCGGGTCTCTGGGACTGGAACCCAGGGCCAGGGTCCTGGCAGCGCCCGGACGCCCGACCAAGAGGCCGCCTGGCGGGACCCTTGGGAGCTGGGGGGGGGGGGGGGGGGGAGAGCGGTAGTGGATGAGATGGGGCCACGGAGGTTTCTGGTCTTTTCTAACTCCCGCTCCCTTCAAGGGTTCCTTTTCTAAAAACTGCGCCCTCGCCTCCCCAGATAGAGCGTTGCTCGGGGGTCCCTCTGGGGGCACCTTCTTTGGCTTGGCGGGGACCTATCCCGCGGGCCTCCTGCCAAGGTGGCCAGCTCTCCGGTCCTTAGCAGCCCTTCTGGCTGGACCTCCCTTTCTCCCTCCTGGCAGCAGACAGACAGACAGACAGACAGAGAGGGCTTCCCGGGAAGAGGAACCTGGTTTTCCCCAGAAGCGGAGCCACAGGATGCGTCCTCTGTCCATTGCTGCCCTTTGCCCGCGGGCAGGAGCGAGGGGCGTGGCTGTGGGTCCTAAAAGGAAATTCTCATTTTCATGAGGAGACAGAGCAGGGGGGTGGGTAGGAGGGTGCCGCTGTCCCGCCCCCTCAGACCTGGCCCTGGAGTGTCTGGGGTTCGGTTTGAAACCATTTAAGTATATTTTTTACTGATTTTAGAAAGGAAGGGAGAGGGAGAGAGAGATAGAAACATCAATGATGAGAGAGAAGCACACTTCACACTAGGGATCCAGCCCATAGCCCGGGCATGTGCCCTGACGGAATCGAACTGTGACCTCCTGGCTCACAGGTCCACGCTCAGCCGTTTAGTTTGGCACTTGAGTACCTGCATCACCTTGACCCAATGTGACCCACATTCTTGTTAGCAAGCGCTGCGCAGGCTTGCAGAGGCAGAGGCGTGCCATTGTCCTGAAGGACCCAGCCCCCTGGGGGCGTGGGAAGACACACAGGGTGTGTGTGCTTACAGAGGGCACAAGAGTTGCTGGGTCTCAGAGAAAGTGCCCAGCTCCGCAGGGAAGTGGGGGCCTCCACAGGGCTGAGCCGGTCACCCATCAGACGGGCATGCCCCGCAGGGAGGCACTGAGGCCGGATGGAAGCCAGCTGGGTCAGCACGGAGAAGGTGCAAAGGCCAGCAAATGGCTGAGGCCTGAGCGAGGTCCCATGTGTTGGCAGCAGCCTCAGCCTGACTTGGACAAAGGGGCAGCCTGCAGAGCCACTGGGAGGGTCACCCTGGGCAATGCCTAGTCAGGATCTGTGCCCAGCCTGGCAGCTGGCACCTCCCCACGGCTGTCCATGGACTCCACGGCCAGGGCTGCATTACGGCCGTGCTGTGGTCTTGGACTCTACTGGCGTGTTGTGGAATGAATAGATGGTTGGAGGCACTTCCAGATGCTCCATGTCTGCTCGTGTTCACTTCCTGCTCGTGTTCTCACCTCTCTGCCTGTCGGCGAGGCTTCTGTGACCTCACTGGGTGTCCAGAGAGGCTGTGTGGGCATTGGCATGACTGCCTGGGGTGGGTGGGTAGAGGAGATGAAGGCAAGTACCTGAGCTAGCATGGCCACCCATGTATCATCTTTAAAAACAAGCCCTATAACATGCAAAGCACCAGCGTGGGGCCAGTGGTGTGTGTGTGTGTGTGTGTGTGTGTGTGTGGTGGGTTTACTCGGAGAGTAAATGGAGGTCTTTGGGTACCTACTAGCGAGGTGCGGAGGCTACAGGAGTGAGCTGTGGATAAGAGCCCACTCAAATAACTAGATTAGTATAGGATGGAAGGTCACTGCAGAGCCAAGCCTCACGTGGACGAGGTGCTTGTGGACGAGGTGCATTTGAGGGAGCCCTGAACGGTGGGTCAGTTTGGAACCCAGGGAGACCAGGAGAGCATTTTAGCGAAGGGGACCGCTTACTGGGAGCAGTTGGGCTGAGCTTTCGGATGAGCCTGGCAGTAAGGACGGACAGACGGCAGGTGAGGTCTCGGGAGGAGGAGGAGAGGCGCCCTGCCAGTCCGGGAGGAGGGACAGGGTGGAGGAGGAAGCTGCCCCAGGGACTTTGGAAACGGTGACAGGAACACTGTGCCCTTGGAGAGCAGTGTTGGGGGCAGAACAGGGGCAGGACCCAGACCAAGGTGCCAGGAGCAAGCAGGATGTGGGAGCGGAGGCTGCAGGCGCCCGCACTGCCTCTGAGGCGCCTGGTGGCAGCTGATGAGCAAACTGGAACAGAAGCTGGGACACGTTAGCATGACACATACAAGGGGCTTGCTCTCTCCTTTTGCTGGAGTCTCTGTCAGCAGCGGGGAGGGGAGTAGAAAGCAGACTGGAGAGGCGGTCAGCAGAGGAGGCTTGGGTGGGGAACCAGGGAGCAGAGGTCAGCGGGAAAGTAGAGGACCCACCCTCCCTGGGCCTGGAGGGGGCGGAAGTGCGGTGAAGAAGGAGGCTGGGGTAGAAGGCAGGGAGTTTATAATAAGGTCGCTGCAGGGCAGCAGGAGGAGCTGCCTGCAGACAGGCGGCCTGGCGTCTCAGGCCGGGGAAGCTGCGGGCGGTGGAGGGAGGGCGCTCAGCCCTCTCCAGACCAGAGGGAGAAGGAGCAGTGTGTCTGTGCTCCCCAGAGGGGAACCAGGATCCCTGGGCACATGGGACGGGGAAGTCGATTTTAATTTATTCCAAGACAAGTATTTGGGGAGCACTCCCTGTCCCTAGGCAGATGGAGGCCCAGGCCCGTTTACCAGGGATGCCGTCGGTGGGATTCTTGCCAGGGCAGGAGATGAAGGCAAGTACCTGAGCTAGCATGGTCACCCATGTGTCACCTTTAAAACAAGCCCTACAACACGAGGAGCCCTTCATTCTTGCCTGCCTGGCTCTGAGACCAGTGACTGCAGAAAGGACACCATCTGTAGGACAGCACTTGGCCCATCAGAAGAGAAGCTGTGGGCATTCACACCACGGAACGCGATGCAGCAGTGAAAGGAGGGTCTCTTACCCTTGGGACAGCCCGGAGGGGCCCAGAGAGCCTCATGCTGAGTGAAGTCAGTCAGTCAGTCAGAGACACGTGTCACATGACCTCACTCATATGAGGAATCTAATGAGCAAAATAAACTGGTGGACGGAGTGGACCCAGAGCCATGGGGCATGGCGCAGAGTGCGGAGTCTCGGAGGGAAGGCGGGGGAGGGGGAGTGGGTGGGAGGTGATCGACCAAAGACCCTGTGTGCATCTCTGCATGGCCCCTGGGCACAGATGGGGGGGGAGGGCCTGGGGTGGGGAGAGGGGTCAATGGGGGGAAGGAGCACACATGGAATACTTTCAACAGTAGAGATTTAAAAAAATAAATAAACAAAGGGCCAACACTTGGACTGTGTCTTCTCTCCTACCGGCCGGCCAGTGGCCAGACAGGCTCCGCCCTGAGGAAGGCCCGGCCTGGAAACTGCCCGGAGCCCCTCAGTGCGCGGGCTGGAAGGCCCTCAGTCCATACAGGATGCTCCCGTGGCCATGCCTCGGCCCCTCGTGTCACTCACCACTGTCCCTCTGCCCTGCCAGCCCCCAGCACCCCGGCCAGGGCGGCGAGGCGGCCACGGAGCCCAGGGGGCCTGGGTGGATCCGCTGAGGAGGGCGCCCGTAGGGGAGGGCGGCCTGGACGACTCTCGGGCCCAGGCTGGGCAGGGCGGCGTGATGTGCGGGGTCCAGGTGGGGACGTGGGGACCGGAGTTCTACAACGTGCCCAGGGGCGCAGTGCGGGCGCTGTGCACACAGCATGGCACCCCGGGGCAAAGCGAAGCCCGCTGAGGGAGGGAGGGAGGGCCTGTGTGCAGGTTTCTGGCTGTGACGTTGGTTTACTGTCAGTATGAAGTCGCTGTAAAACAGGCTTAGTTCTACATTCTGTAAAGTGCTTGTCCTAGGCCGGCTGGCGTGGCTCAGGGCTTAAGCGTTGACCTATGAACCAGAAGGTTGTGGTTCGACTCCAGTCAGGACACATGCCTGTGTGGTGGGTTTGATCCCCAGTGGGGGGCGTGCGGGAGGCAGCTGGTCCATGGTTCTCTCATCGCTGATGTCTCTTCCTCTCCCTTCCGCTCTGGAATCAAT